GGGCGACTGACAAGGATCCAGAAAGCTGGTCATGGTGGTTTCTTACCTGTAGTGGGGAGGGGACAGCCCTTGGAAGCTCCTGGGGCCCCTGGGTCTCACTGAGCTCTGGGCGGGGCCCCTGGAAGCAGCACTTTTGAGGACTGGGCATCACCCTCTGTCATACACATTAGATTTTTTATTTTTTAATTCTTAAGGCGTGAATAAGAACCAGTGTGTCACTGCTTAGGGTTTGGGAAGGAGTCACTCAGCCGAGTGGATCGCTGCCTTTATTGCATCTTCACTGTGAGTTTTGAAAAAAATGCAGAACATAATCTAATATATAGAAAAATAAAATTTTGGCAAAACAAACTTTAGGGAATTTAAAGTTTACACTAATTTTTCATGTGTGCTCAGCAGTGAAACATTAACATTCTAAGGTGCCACTTCCGTGGTTATAAAAAGTTTTAAGTTAATGGAGTTTACAGTGCATCCTGAAGTGATACAAATTTAAAGTTCTGTATTAATAAGGAAGCCCGTTCGCTAAAGTAGCATCAGTCATTCATGTCAGAGTTTGTTATACGTGTTTGTAGTCCAGCAAATGCCCTCGATAATGAGAAACAATTAAAAAGTGTCACTTAGGACAAAAATAACCTGTATAGAAGGGGAATGACAGATTTTTTTATATGCTTATTCAGATACCCAGAATTTTCATGAAATTAAAACTAATAGAAAATCATTAGACTCATTACTTCGAGTTCAAATGCTATGAACTCTTCATCCGACCAAACTGAACACCAGCAAAAGTGGAAAAGTTCTCACCACCTTTCGTGTGTCCCTATCAAATTGCATCCATTTATTATGAATTAAATGTAAAGACCACCTCATTTTTAGAAGCAGATGTGCCTGACTCTCGAACCCCACAGACCCCCAGCATCTGGAGGCGCGTGTACACACACCTGCGCTCCCATCCCGGACTAGGCAGTGCGGGTCTGGTTGGGACGGGACTCCAGCTAAGTGGTTTCACCCATCACTTTGCATTACCATAGTGGTAGCACAGAGGACATTTCAACTATTGTGTTTATTTAGAGCAGAGGGACAGGTCCACCTGCCTGTCTTCAGGAAGAGCCAGCAGCATTAGTAACCACCTCAATCGGGTTTGGCCCAGGCCCCCATGACCGTCCTGAAAACCCCATGTGGGGGCAGAGAAGCGTCCAGACCCTCGCAGGAGCAGGGGCGCTGTCCTGGTGACGGCTGAGCAGCTCTATAAAACTAGAGCTGTGGGCTCTCCAACGTAGATGCTCATTCCTAAGTCTGTCGCTTCAGAGTTTAGGGAGATCTTTTTCCTGGTCCGTTCGAGGGAACAATAAATAAAGTAGAAAGGAGCAGTTCTCTTGCATATTCTGAGTAAGAATGGAAACCATTTATATTTGAGACGCTCGGGAAGTTCCTGGTCAGGAGCCGCCGCTCACTACACCCGTCGGCGCAACTTCACGGCTGCAGGGCAGGCGCCAGGGCTGCTCTGACAAGGGCGGCCTTCATTCCTGTCCAAACCCCTCTGTCTCTTCTATCGCAAACAGGAGCTTCTCCTTCAGCTGCTCGTAGCTCTTGTACGGCGGTAGATCCAAGCGATTAAAGCTGGACAGACAGAATCAGATGTGTCTTCAACCAAGTGAACCCAAAAGGTTTCTGGGACAGTGTGTGTAAAGCACGTCTGAAGAACTACGCGGACAGGCAGTGCTGCTACACGACCACTTCGGTGTCGGCACAGACTCCTCAGCAGCCCGACAGCTGCCTGCACGCCCACAGCCCACCTCCCCTCCCCTCTGTTCCAACCACACCTGTCACCTGTTTCTGCAATTGCTTTAGAGTCTTTGCAAACAGCTCTGTATAAAATGTGTGCTTCCCCCAGCTCCGCAGCCTGCTGTCCGTCAAACTCCGACCCAGCCCGTCCCCCCCACTGGCGGCCTCTACCAGCCCAGCTCCCCTTCCTTCAGGGCTCCCCAGCACTGCTTGCTGGCCGTCCCCTGCGTGCCCTTCCCCAAGGAGTGCGAACTCGGGGAGGCAGGAGCACTCCCGTCCGTCTCGTTAACAGTGGTGACTAAGCACCGGCTCAGGTGCCCAGGAGGCCCAACTAGGGACGAGCTGGGGCTCAGCTGTAGGACCGGCCTTGGTCGTCCTGTTCTCAAAACAAGTCTGGCTGCTCTTCAAGAACAGGTCGGGGCGTCTCATTAAAACCAAACACCGGCTTTCACCTTCCATTTAGGATTCAACTTACCACGTGTGGCTTCTTGGTAACCAGGTGTCTTTCCCAACTTTTTCAACGCAAAATTTCTGAGGCCCGTTACTTCCTAAAGCAGGGAAATAGACAAAGTTTATCTGGTCCTTCAAACTTCTGGGTCCTGACAACATGTCACATGTTCCGCGGGTGATGGCATGAACTGCAGTGGACCGGCAGAGAGCAGTTTCTGCAGAAGCCTGCCCCCCACCCCGAGGAGCAGAGCAGCAGGCACCCAGGTGGCTTTCCCCCGTCTCATCCTAAGTGGACACTAGGAGTGAGCCTCAGGCCTGAGGCCACAGTGACCCGCAGGGGTGGCACTCACCACTCACCCATGAGCTCGGCGAAGCCTCCCAGGGGCAGGCGGCAGGTCCCCGTGACGAACTGGAGCAGACGCATCCTCACCTCATTGTCTGTCTCCTTCACGAACTAACAAGGGCAACAATGTAAAGTAGCATCTCCGGTAATGGAAACAGACACTTGAATTACTAAACTCCAGGAAATTAAGAGTGACCTTGAATTTAACACTGAAACTGGTTCAAAAGACAAGTGACAATGTGGCTGCAGCATCAACCACTTACCAGGCTGGTGCTGTGCCCAGAACCCTACGGAGAAGGGGGCAGCAGCTCAGAAATGTCACATGTCCAAGGTCATCGCACTGACGGAGCCAGGACAGGCGTCACAGCTGTCGCCTCTGAGGGTCCAGCCTGCAAGGGCCACGTGCTGCCCGGGGAGCAGCCCTCACAGTCTGCGAGGCAGGACCCGCCATTAGCATCCCCGCTGCACACGTGAGGAGACGCGGCCCAAAGGCACAGTAACGTGTCTGCCCCACGCGGCTGGTAGGGGGCAGGGTAACCTTGGAACCGCGGTCCTGACCTGAGCACTTGCCCTTTTCCTCTGAGGGACCTGGAGCACAAGTCCACTTCCTCCCACTCAACGCGGCCTCCCAGCGTGGTCCCTCCCCAAGGGACTTCGTTCCCTGACTTCACAGAGGGAAGGACACAGCGGGAGACCTGCAGAAACACCACGGAGCCGGTCTTGTCGGAGGCAGAGCGCAGACATGTCTCAGAGGTGAGGCTGAGCATAGGGAAGGACCGGACGGCACCGCCAGTGCACAGCTGCGAGTGGGTCTGGCGTAAACCTCACCACTGTCCCTGAATCAGCCCCATCCTGCAGACAGCTGGTCGTGAGGACTCACGTGGCCTAAGCTCAGCTCCTCAGATTTAGACACGTCCACACGCGTGGCTGGGAATGAGCGAAAGCGGGTGGGGAACGCCTGGCCCGTGGGCTGAGATCATTTGGCCCGGCTCTGCCAAGGCAGCCACAAGCAGGACTCAAAATTCAATGAATCTAGGAGCCTTTTTCATAGCTAATTTTTAAGTTGATAATTTTGTGTGGCCCACAAATGATGTTATATCCAAATGGCCCTCAGCAGAAAAAAGTTCCCCACCCCTAGCATAAAGGGAGGGTGACTGACCCCTCTGCCTCCAGTGGCTTGGCTCCCACCCCTCAGAGGCTCCTCTACCCAGATCACCCTTTGAACCAGATGGCGGTCACAGAAACACCTTCCTTCCCCAAACCTCTGACCACCCTACTCCCCAGGGTCTGTTAATTTGTAGTAAGAGCGGCTCCAGGGCAGTGTGTGCAGAATGGAAGTGTTAGTTTACTCAGCCCCTCCAGACACATCAGGTGTGTCACCTGTTGGTGCACCAATAACGTGGCAATCAATGCTCGGGGATGGGTGGGTTTGCATGTGAAACTGCATCTCTAAGGTAAATTTCTAGAAACGTCCGTGTCTGCAAAGTATGAAGCAATAAACACACAACTCTCCTTAGGAAAGGACGCGACTTCTGGACAGTCCTCTAGCAATATAAACACCAGACTGACTCCACCTGAGACAGCAGGAAACCAGCCCAGTCCCTAAGGTGAGCCTCGTCACCGGGCTCCCGTGACGTCAGGCCTCAGCCCAGACATTTTACATTTTCAAACAAACACAAAACAGAAAGTCCATCATCAAGATTAGTAGGCAGCACGTAGATGCCCAGAGACCACCCGATGCAGCTTCAGCCAAAACAGAGGACAGAGAAGGGGGAGGGGCTGCTGCCCTGTGGGTGTCCAAGTCCCCAGCCCCGGGTCACCCTCCCATGGAAACACCTCCTCCACCGCTAGCACTTGCAGAACCTGTAGCACCCTCGGCTGTTGCTAGAAGCCGCCGCTGTACCTGTGACTTAACCCCCATCAAACTCTCACTTCCATCAGCAGAAGCAACCTATTCACATTACTCACTTCTGACTGAGAATTCAAAGGCCAAAACCATGACCAAAAGCAGCCCAAATGAGCTGTAGTTTAAACCACTGTCTCACTAGAAAACATCCTGAGGACTCTGTTTCAAAAAAATAAAAGCAAGTACCTGCCAAAACCAGATGATCTGCTTGCTGTTCCTGGTGTAGTGTCTGTACACGGTGTTTCTCTGCCAGTCGGCCAGGTCCACCTCCTGCATGCCGCACAGCATCACCTGGGGGCGGGGCACAGCCGTGGTCACACCAGGGCTCGGGAACCACAGGACCCACGTCCACGACAAACGAGGCCACAGTGACAAACCCCAGCGCCAGTGGCAGTTTATCCTGCAGGAACCTGAACTTCCTTAGCGGTGCTTACTGAAGGCAGCGACCACAGAGTAGCTTCAAGAGAAACCTCAGGTGTGCCAGCAGGGACGTCACCTTCACTAAAATACACCCTCAGTTAGGGGCCAGATTACTGATGAGTTTCAATCATACTTCTTCCTTTTTAAAGTTTATGCTAAATCTTATCTACTTAGAAACATACTGTTATTCATTGATCCAGGCAACAGTCGTCAGAGACAAAGTAGAACGGAGGTGCCAGGGGCTGGGGGACTTACTGTTTAAAGGGCAGTTTGTTTCTCACGACGGAAAAGTTCTGGAGATGGGCTGCACAGTAATGCGGTGACATTTACCATTACTCACCCGACACCCACAAATGGTTAACGTGGCAAATTACACGGCATGTGTATTTTACCACCAAAAGAAAGTTGTGATAGGCTTCCAACAAGTCTAACAGTTGAAACCACTAGGACCTCAGGACTTTGCCCGGCCGGGCGTGGCTCAGCGGCTGAGCGTCGGCCTGGGGTCCAGGCGAGACTTTAGAATCTGAGCTTAGAGGCAACTCACTGCTGACCCCGGGCTTCAGAAAGGTCCCCGGCCAGTCAGGGGCTCGCCCTGCCGAGGACCCGGGAGTGGACCTGGCTGCCGACTGTGCCCAGGGCAGCCCCCAGGGGCGGGCTCCGGGCTGTGCCACAGGGTTGAGACCTGCGTGGACGTCTTCCCGTGAGCACCAGCAGACCCTCGACCTCCGGGCCACGGCCTCACCTCCAGCTCCTTTTCGTCGAAGTACTGCAGCCACTGCAGGGGCACCACCTCGTTGAAGCCGTCCAGGAAGGCCTTGGTCTGCTCCTGCACGCCGCGCGAGAAGCGCCACTCGGTCATCAGGCTGAAACGAGGCGGGTTTCAGACGGCCGCTGGCGTGGGACGGCTCAGACAGCCACGTGCTTCTAGAGCCGTTTCCCACCCCCCGCCTCCGCTCCTCACGCGCATCTGCTCCGGCGCACGCAGCGGAGAAGGGGCTTTCCCGTCAGAAACAGACGGGGTTCCTGTCGGGCGGCACCCAGCGTGAGAGGAAGGGAGCAGCCGCCCCGAACCGCTCCGCTTCCTCCTGACCCGGCCCTCCACGGGCCGTCAGGGACCACGCAGGGAGGAGTGAGGGCCGGGACAGACAGCCACAGGCG